GGCGGCAGCAGTAGCAGCAGCAGCAGGAGTTGCAACAATAGCAGCAGCAGCAGCAGCAGCAGCAGCGCAAGCAGCAGTGCAGGTGCTTCCTGCCGCCGCTCCGCCGCGTGCACCCAAAACTAGGGTTTAGGGTTTAGGGTTTAGGGTTTAGGGTTTAGGGTTTACGTGGAGGTTTGCTTCGACATGTTCAAGAAGAGTTGGCAGCAAATGGTAGCTGCGGTACTCCAGGGCGGCCATGGCGTACAGCAGGCGCGGCACCATTTCCGGCTGCAAACCCTAAACCCTAAACCCTAAACCCTAAACCCTAAACCCTACGCGCCAAGTCCTAAACCCTCATGCGGGGCCGCTCGGTTACGCGCTGCACTGCTTTCAGCGTCTGCAGACCTCAAGCGGCGAACCCTAAACCCTAAACGCTAAACGCTAAACCCTAAACCCTAAACCCTAAACCCTTGCCTGGATTTGTTCTCTTCTTTCGATGAGGTCGTACACCAGACACTTGAAAGAAGGCAGCGAATGGATTTGCTGCTTATCTCGCGGAGCCCTATTCACAAAAGGGTTTACTGATTAGGGTTTAGGGTTTAGGGTTTGGGGTTTAGGGTTTAGGGTTTGGGGTTGAGGGTTTTAGAGCTCGCGCTCCCGGGTCGCCTCGGGGCGACGTACACCCAGCTCGGCCCCTCCTCAGACCTTAGGGTTTAGGGTTTAGGGTTTAGGGTTTAGGGTTTACCAGAAAGAATTAAATCCGAAAACATTCCCCAACTGGCAAAAACACCGCACGAGCCACTTGTAGTCAATCTCATCATCTAATTTCATGTACCGCCGGTAGAGCCTAAACCACAAACCCTAGACCCTAAACCCCAAACCCTAAACCCTAAACCCTGACATTTCCTAGCAGGGAGGTTCCGGGTCTTTCCCGATGCGCTCACGCCTTCTTGAGGGAGGTTTAGGGGCAGGGGTTGTTCCCGCTAGGGGCTAGGGTTTAGGGTTTAGGGTTTAGGGTTTAGGGTTTGTACTTGATGATGGATCGAGGGTTTGAGTTGGCCTTGCTCAGCTTCTCGTGGAAATAGATGGGCAGACTGTCGGGGGGCCGAGCAGTGAACACCTTCACCATAAACCCTAAACCCTAAACCCTAAACCCTAAACCCTAAACCCTAAACTCTGAAGCCTAGAAGCTAAGACCGAAAGTCTAAGCCGTGAGCCACAGCTCGCAAACCCTGAATTCGAGGCCCCTAGAGCGCTCCACCCTCCACGTAGGGTTTAGGGTTTAGGGTTTAGGGTTTACGGGTTTAGGGTTTACCTTAATCTTGCGCAGGCGTTTCGGCATGAAGGCTGCGTCATACATTCGAGTGTACTGCTGAGCTGTAGCAACAGAAGCAAGTGTGCC